TGACATACAACTATCTACTGGGGCCTTGGGGAGAAAAAGGGAAAAAAAGGAGCAATAGATGTTAGCTCAGAGCCGGTCTTCCTCAGCAAAAAGAGAGGAAGATTAGCATGGATGTAGCTCAGGGCTGATCTTCCTCACAAAAAAAAAAAAAAAAAAAGAAGATAGGCTAGGGCTTCACAGGATGGGTCCTTGAATGCCAGGCCATGAATTCGCATCTTATCTGGAGATGCCAGCAATGGGGAGTCACCGGAGTTTTTGAAACAGGATAGGGAATGATTAATCTGTAGAAGGGCAGTTCTCTGGCCAGCAATATCAGGGACAGATGGGAGAGCAAGGATTTGGGTGGTAGGCAGACAGGTTAGGAGGCTGATGTGGAGAGGGGGTGCAGATGGCAACCTGAACCGAGCCCCTGACAATGAGCAGTGATAGGAGGGGACAGATGTGAGGGAAGATTCAGAGGGAGAAGATGTTGAAACTGACTGAAGATAAAGATTGGCGGGGGGCAGGGGGAGTTCCCTGCTATGCCTACCCAGGTGCAGCCTTCTCCAGCCCTCCCTTTAGTGGGCATACCTGGCAAGGTGGCATGCATGATAGAGAGCACCAGGGCACGGGTGCTGAACGGCTCCTGGCTCATGTTGGCAAAGACAGGAACACAGAGGCGGCCCAGGATGAAACAGGCATAGAGTACACAGCCCAGGGCCTGGGGAGGGAGTGGGGGACACATAACTTCGGCAGCTGCCCCTTCACTCTGGAATTGGACTCTGGCCCAGCATCTGCCTCTTCTCTTAGCGCCACCCTCCGACCTCCTCCTCGGGCGTCCCCCACCTCACTCCCATTAACGCCCCCGAAGCCACCATGACCCACAGTGGTCCACCCTTCCACCCCATCTTCTGACCTGGGCGAAGTTCTTGGCCACGTAATTCCACCTGACGCTGGGGGTCCTGTAGCAGCAATGAGGTTACATGTTTCTCGTCCCCTCTCAGGCCAGGCACAGGTTCCGGGCCCTCTCTCTGCAGCGCCCTCAATTGCTCAGGCCTGGGAGGATTATCTGGGGAGGTGGGGATCTAGAACACTTTGCACCTTCCATAACAGAGACGGCAAATGGATTTTTAGCTTGAGTATCAACTAAACTGACCAACCTCCTGGTGTTTGCTCCGGACTGAGGCATTTCCCAGAACCTAGGATTTTCGGTGCTAAAACTGGGACAGTCCTGGGCAAACCTTAACAGCTGGTCACTCTTGTGTCACTATGGGCTGGACAAGGAGGAAGGGTAGTCTACCTGCCGCTTATTTCCTCTCTTTATGATGGGATGCTTCCTGAGAAAGCTGCCAGTGTCTGGGTGAGGCTAGGGACCTCAGGGATAGGGGAGGAGGAGGGTGAGGTCCCTGATGGGCCTGGGCGTTTGGGGAAGGGGTGCAGGGCCTTACCTGGGGTAAGTCTCCCTGTAGATGAGCGTGGGGCAGAAGAGGAAGTAGAGGTAGCTGGAGAAACTGGGGGCCCGGATCCCCCTGCCTGGGGAGGAGTGAGAGGGGTCCATCAGTGAAGAGGGGAGGGAGAGAGGGCAGAGGGTAGTGGGCGACTGGGGAAGGGTGGTGGGACTGGTGAATGGAGAGCTGGATAGGGCAGAGGTGCAGGGGAATGGGTGAGGAGCTGGATGTTGGGGCTGGAGCTGGGGTGGGGGTGGTGAAACCCGGCAGGAGCTGAACCTGCTAACACTCCTCTTTGTTTCCATTCCAGGCACCCCATTTTCTGATGCAGGACTTGCTGTGGCCGGAGCTTCACTTGGCTCCCACGAGTTCCACCACCCATTTTCCCTCTCCTTCGGTTTTGACTTCCTAATATAAGGTTCTCACACCTGGGTCTTGCCAGGCTAGGCTCGGAAATAGGAAAGCGCCAGAAGTTCTGGGCAACAGACGTGCCTCTCTCTGGGACCCGAGATGCCCAATGTCTAAGGCCCGCAGAGCCCCGCTGGAGGCCAGAGCTGTGCCCAGTGGGCAAGATGGGCTTAGGAAGTCAGAGCTTCTATGAGGATCCTGCAAGCGAGTTCATAGCAGGGCCAGCCGAAAGGCCTCACCTCCTCTGGCACAAAAGATCCCAGGCACAGCCTCTCTCAGGAAGGAGTAGCTTTTCATCAGGAGCCTGACCTGAGATGGAGTGGAAGGGAGGTTAAGTTGCTGTGCAGCTTTGAGCAGATCACGTAACCTCTCTGTGCTTTCGTTCACTCTATCTTTTAGTCGGATCGCCTCGCAGCCTAACACCACAGCTGCTGGGACGAATCGAGGGTAAAGGGGTACAGGAAAGGCCAGGCCGGAGCCTCCACCCAGCCAACCCGGTGTGACTCTCTGTGGACTCCGATTATATTTGTATAGCAGCGCCCATTTCGTTTACATTTCCTTGGAGCCTGCTGGTTCGCTCAAATCCCTCCCAACGGACTCTGCTCCTAGTAACCGGCTCCGCCCCCGCCAATCCTGTATCGAGCGCCCTCCCTCCTAGGGGCCCCGCCCCGCCCTCGGCCCCGCCCATCACCTGCTCGAAGACTAGGACACAGCGGGAGGCTGGCGGGAGCTGATAGTCCACCGCCACGTGGACCGGGAGGACGCCGAGTACCGCGGTGTGGGCGGCCAGCAGCGCGCAGCCCAGCCCTACCCCCAGCGTCCAGGCCCCTCCGGCCTGGGGCCTCGCCCACAGCCGCAGGGCCTGGTAGGGCGCCAGCAGCGTGGACAGGAACATGGGGACCCACGTCATCAGCGCCAAGGGCAGCTGTCCGAAGCTGAAGATCAGTAGGTCAGACTCCAGCATCAGCCTTGGAGTGGGGAAGGAGAGACAAAGCAGACAAATGTGTACCCATCCTGGTCCCTTCCCCTGCAGTCACAGCTCCTGGAAGATACACTGAGATATCCTGCGAAGGGTGTGAGCTTCAGTCTCTGAAGGTGTTCAAGATGGCACCTCTGCTGCCTGAGGAGACTCAACTATGGAAGGGGTTTGCTTCCAAACGAGGTCAGAGCCCTCTGTGAATTTCAGGGTGGCGCAGAAGGGCTCAGTAGTTTCTATGGCACAGGTGTTAGAGCACGAGCTAGAGTTGAATTTTCATTTTCGTTGGTTTTTTTCTTTGGCGTGTCAGTAGCTGTAGACGCAAGTTAATAGAAAGCAGGTTGTTGCATGTTTTGTTGGTTTAGGTAAGAGTGTATGGTTTGCAACGGTGAAAAAGTGGAAACAACCTCAATATCCATTAGTAAAGGACTAAGTGAACACACGCTGGCACCTCCAGACTGCAGTCATTAAAACAATGGACTGACGTGGAAAGATCTCTAAGACAGGTTGTTAGGGAGTGAAAACAGAACAATAGGTGCAGTCAGGACCTTATTCATGTAAACCTCCCCTCCCCCAGAAATACAGCCTTGGCGCTGTATACGTATGGATGTGAGTGCACGGGAAATGCCCTGGAGGGAAATTCTCAAAACCGTTAAAAATGTTACCTTTGGGCAGCAGTCTGGGATTGAGGAGGACGGTCAAGAAGGGCTGGCACTTTATGTGTATTTGAAGTTTTTACTGAAATTTGATCCTCATAATACTCAAATGATTAACAACCATTTTACCAAAAGGAAGTGCTGTTGCTGATGCTGCAGATCCTTGGTCCTCTTCCTGTAACTGCTTCCTAAGCCCTACTTAGGGTGGTGGTGGTGGGGGACACATGCAAATACAGGCCCCCAGGGGTGTACAGCCCTCTGAGGCTCATCCCCAGAGTGCGGGTGCTCTGTGGGGCAAACGACCCACCGAGGCACTTGTGTGCATGTCTGTCTTCCCCACAAGATTGAGAGGGCCCCAAAGACAGGGATGGGGTCTGCCCCTCATCTCTTGCTCCCCAAGGCTGGTACTTAGGAGATGCTCGATGGAGGTCACTTGAATTGAACAGCGCTGACTTGGAAAGGAGTGTGTGAGAGCAGTGGTGTAACGTGCACGTGGGTGTGCACACGCGTCTGTCTGCCTCAGGACAAGGTTCTGGTTGAGAAGTATTTGAGCAGGGGCGTAGTGTCCCTAGAGTGGCTGACCCTGGGAGGACAGACCAAGGGCCATCCAAGGCTGTGGATGGAAGAAGTCTAAGAGAGCGTTTAGGTGGGAGGGTTGCTGGAAGCTACACTGATGGGTGTCCAATAATCAAAGGGGGACCTGTGCTCTCCCGGCCAGTGGCAAGTGGAGCACTGGGGACCCGAGTTCTCATGTGATCTGTGTGCCTATCCCCAGTGGGAGGGGCCTACCTGCCCTCATCGATGAAGTCAATGGCCAGGGTGTTGATGATGAAGACACACAGGCCGGCGATGAACATGTGGTAGATGGTACGGAAATGCTGCACCTCCATCAGCTCGCTGGAGGGACAGGGAGCCCAAGTGTCAGTGTGGAGGGTCCTCAAGATTGTGTGGACAAGCCCAGGCACTGCATGCATGTGAGGATGGGGCCCGGTGATTGGGAACTTCCAGCTAAGGGCTGCGACGTGGCTGGGACTTCTGTCCAAAACCCTTTCCAGCCCGGACACTTCTCATCATGGTGGCCTTTCTTCCACAGTCACATCCAGGGCAAATGGGGAAATTGAACCTTGGAAACCCTCTCCAAGTTCTCCCCCAAACCACCTAGACCCTGGAGATGAGAAATGAAGTGTCCTGGCCCCCAGGCTCAGCCCTTTCTATTCCTCCCATCCCCTGTCCTCGCCCCTGACTTACTCAAGCAGGGATTTGCGGATGATGAAAACTTTCTGTTTCCCCAGGGATGGCTCCCGGGTCCTGAATTGAGACAGTTGTTCTGGATCAGGACCCAAAGGAAGAAGGCAGTGGGCAGAGGGCAGGGCCTCGCAGAAGGTCAGTACTTGGGAGCCAAGGGCAGTGGCAGGGGAAGGTCAGGGCTAGGGCCAGAGGGCAGGACCAGGTGGAAGGTGAGGGCCAGGGCAGAGCAAGGCCCAGAGGTGGAGGTCAGCATCAGGAAGGCAGAGGCCGTTAGAGGAGAAGAGGGTGCTGGCAAAGAGCGCCGAGATGATGTTTATGGCTCATAATCCTTACAGTGGGGGAGCCCGCTCCAGCCATTCCGCAGCCCCCGGCTCCTCAGACTCTTACTTGCTTGAGGAATCTGGGGGCACGGAGGGCAGAGGTCTGCCTTGTGGAGGGTAGGATTGTACGGCCTCCCACATGGCCCGGTCCAGCAGCTCCATCAGCTGTCCCTGCGCTTGCTCTAGCAGCTGTGTCTTCACAGCCTATGGGACAAAGCAGGGCAGGGCCATGTCGCTCTGTCCAGCAGCCGTCTCTCACTCACTGAACATTGACTGAGCTTCTCTCCGGGTCAGCCACATGCTGAGTGCTCGGGAGAGAATGAAGAGCACCGCTCCTGCTCAGAGGCTCCCCGAGGATTTATCTCCCTCTGGCTTCCCAGGGCAGCAGTGAGGATCAAGGAAAGACAGCAGGAGCGACACTTCCAGTCCCTGGGTCTGAATCCCAACTACTTGTCATCTCTGACCCTACTGTCTTCTCCCTGACGCCCACTAACAGAGGACTGTTCACTGGGCGACGTTTGGCCCCCACCCTGATGACCTGTTTCAAACCCCTTTATCTTAACGGTTAGCTCCGATATGATCTGAAGGGTTTGAACCACAAACAAATTGTCGCTATCACCAAACCAGTCCTTACCCCTACCTCCCTCTACTCCAGGACCTGTCCGTCTTGACCTCTGACCTCTGACATCCCTTACCTCCATTTGTCGGGTCCATTGCACCAAGTCCGGGCCTCTGTGTGTCTCAGTGTTTCCTAGGAGGAGGGGGTCAAAGGGCGCACTCAGGGGAGAGGAGCCAGGATTCGGCTGCCCTTTGCTGACCCAGGGGCATCCTCTTTCCAGGAAGTGCTTGTGTATGCTCAGCAGCCTCCCTGCCCCCCACAGGCCCCTATCTAGTATCAACGGTGGGACAATCAGAGGGGAAGTTGCTTTTGTAGAGAGTGAGGATGCCATTGGCAAGCAGGGAGCCTGATGACATTACTGGAAACGGTACCCAGGGAACAGGAAGCTACTCCATACACCCTCTGGGGTTAGAGTCAGAAAGATAAAGCAAGGCCACAGCTCTGAATATCCCTTTTCTCCTCCCTCTCCCAGCTGGGCAGTTAGGGGCAGAGGCCAGCATCTGCCTTCCCTGGCCTCCCGGGACAGCAGGAAGGATTGAAGGTAGACAGCAGGACCCCCGTCTCAACAAGGCATCCTCACCTCCAACCCCTCCCGGGCTCTCTGCACTCCCAGAGGGTGGGTCCTCCTGCTCTCCTCTCTGCCCTTCTCTCTTCCGCATTCGGGCCGCCCTTGGCTCCATGACGGGAGTCTTCACTGGGCAGCAGGCCGAATTGAGTGTTCCCTCCCTTCCTTCACGCCTGGCCTGCCCGAGCTCTTATCTCCCTCAGTTCATCTGACTGCCTGCTATGACTAAAGTCCATTCAGGAGGTGGGGTTATAGGTTATCTGATCCGGAGGGCAGCACTGCTTCTCCGCTACAGGCTCTGCTCTGCTGGCTGTGCCGGGATGGGCACAACCCCCCTGTCAGCTCAGCCCCCACCCAGATGACCAACCCCCTGTGTGCTGTCCCTCCTGCAGGTGTGGTGGCTCTACACCTATGCACATCGTGGGCAGGTGCGGCTCATCACCTCGTATGACCTGCCTTCCAGTCTCTTTCCCAGCAGGCACAAGGGAAGGTCGGGGAGCAGTCAGAAGCATCTCCAGGTCTCAGAGCACTTAGCTCCCTCAGGTCATGAGATAAGGTGTGTGAAGGGACCTGGTCAACTCGAAAGTATTGTATACATGTGACTAATATTCTGATGGGGCTGGCACCTGTGACAACTGTGCTGCTGTGGCCCCTCCAGGAAATGCTGGGTGCCAGGGCCCCTGAACCTCAGCTCTTCCTGACGGCTGCTTGGGTTAGCATTAGGCAGAAAGGAGGCAAAACAAACACTTATTCAGCACCTCAGGAATGCTGAGCATTGTCACACAGTCACATAAGGAAGAACCGCATTTAAATCCTCCCTCTATCATTTACTGGCTGTGTAATTTCAGGCAAGTGACCCAAATATTTGAGTCACAGTTTCCTCCTCTGAAAAACAGGGGCAAAAGTCCCTACTTCACGAAGTTATTGTAAGCACAAAATGAGGTAGTCCAGGTAAAGGAACACGGTCCCAGCCTGGCCTGTGGGAGGAGCTCAGTAAATAATAATTTCCTTCCCTTTTTAATAGGATGTAACAGGACAAGTGCTTTGAGAGTTCCTCTTTGTTGTGTTCCTGCTGGGGATTAACTATTAATCCTTCCTCACCCCTGTGTCCAAAGATCAGTGTTGGACCTCAGACCAAGGCCACGGCCTCAGTGTCTCCCCCCAACTCCCGCCCCCCACTCCCTGGTAGGCAGCTGGGTCAGGCTTGAGGGCTTGAAACCTCTGCCAATGGCTGTCTCTGTTCCCAGTGCACCGGGAAGGACTGAAGGTAGTCCACGGGAAGAGAGGGGGTGGGAAGGAGGTAGAGAGAAGGGCTCCAGAAACGTGAGAGGTGGACACAGAGATGTAGGCCAGAGTCCCCCAACACAGCTTTATTAACAGCCCAAGCCAACACCAACAATCTTTTCATGTGTGAGGTCCCAGGGGTGAGGGGGACAATGGGGCAGGGCCTGAAGGTGGAATGTGGGGCTCGGGGCCCCTGAGTTACTCATCACTCAACAAATGACCCAAGAGGACAGCCCCAGGCTTCTGCCAGTGGCCCTGCAGCCCCCCACCCAGCCTTAGCCACTGCTCCCGGCGGGGCAGGGGGAGCTTCCATCGCCATCCGGGGACCCCGGCAGAGGCTGGCCCATCCGATCCACACACCAGCAGGGTCCTCGGCGCTGCCCCTGGGAGGAGCGACACTGGGGAGAGAGGCACACGGTCAGGGGCACCACCGAGGCTCTAGCAGGAGAGACAGGAGGGGCCCCCGGGGTTGGGGATGGACCAGCTAGCTGGGATGGGCTGACTCCTGAGCCTGAGTATGCAGAAACATCTGAGAGAGCCCTCAGGGTTCCTTTCCCTTGCTTCTCCCCTTCTCCACCCACTTAATTGTGCCCACTCCTCTAGGCCAGAATAGCGGTTCTCACAGTGTGGTTCCCAAACCAACAGCATCCGCATTACTAGGGAGCCCATTAGAAATGCTAATTCTCAGGCTCTGCGGTGGGGCTCAGCCCTCCCGGTGATTCCCACGTGCTTCATGTTTGTGAAGCCCTGAGTTAGACATGCTAACTCCCCCACTACCGTGTGTGGTTGTTATTCTCTGTGTTTGTGTGTGCACTAAAGTTGGGAGATCCTGAAAGGCAGGGGCAGTGTCTGACTTATGCAACTTTGTAAGCCCCCCATCCGTGGTAGGAGCCTTGTACTGAGGGGAGGGGAGGGGTGGCCGCACCTGCCGCTTCCGGTAGAAGCCACGATGGTCACAATTAGGCACATAGAGGGTGTGAGACCCTCGGTAGACCTCGGTCTGGAGTTGCTGTAGCACTGAGTCCAGGTGTCTGCGGCACGGGCCCTGGGGAAGGAAGAGCAGGCGGCTCAGAACCGCTCCAGCCTAGCTCCACCACGCCGCTCTCTGGCCCCACCAGCCAAGCCCCCAGGATCAACGTGGGAGACTTCTCCAAGCCCAAGGAAGTCATCTCAGATGGGAGTCTCAGGGCTCCCCACCCCTCCTGCTCCCTGCCAGCCCCAAACGCACCATCTCGGTGTCTTGGACGCCCCCAGGATGGGGCCGGGCGGGAGTGGTAGAGGTCCCCGGATTTCTCTGTTGTTCTCTGCGGTTCACGTCCTGTGTGCGAGTGGTCCCTGCTTGGGGTTTACCCTCCTTAGGATTCTCACCTACAACCACAAGAGGAAGCGGGGAGGAAGAGGCCAGAAATCAGCCAGATGTCAAAGACCAGAGCCAAGTGGAAAAGAGCTTGCTCACCTCTACCTGCTGCAGTGGGGGGAAGAGAGGGGCTTTCGGAGTAGTAGGAATGAGGGGGCTTAGAACCTGGCTCCACCGTTACCTTCTCCTGGCCTCCATTTCTTTCTCCGATAAATGGTGATATATCCCTTATATCAAGGCTCAAGGGAGAAGCACTTTGGAAAGCAAAAAGCGAGAATACAAATACATGGGGAGGCCTTGGGCTTGAGGTGAAAAGACCTGGCTGTTCCACCAGAGGCCAGCAGGGGGTGCACCAAGCCAGGGAGATGGGGCAGAGGAGTGAAGGATGTGGGAGGGGGTCTGCAGGGACCCAAGTGGAATGCGTGTCCCCGCTGTGACCCTGCTGTGACTCAGCCCACTCCTCCAGGCCTGAGACGTGGTTACTTTTGGGGCACTGCAGTGGGGGCCCCTCCCTCTGGTCCCCTGTGGTTCATACCAGCTCAACCCCAGGGCTCCCAGGAGCATGTGCGATGCAGCCCTTAACCAGGACGAGTGGAGGGCAGGTTGCAAAAGTGCAGGGAATGAGGGGCTTCCAACCTGCAGGCTGCTCCTGGCTCCTGAGAAAGTTTCACACATGGGGCGTCTGGGGGGCCTGGGGAGAGCTCAGGATGGGAGGGGGTGAGGAAATAAGTCAGGGAGAGGAAAAGGCAGGGAGGGGAGCATGCACTGCTTGGAATTTGCTCCAGCTGCAAAATGAGATGTTGTGACCGCTCAAGGGAACGTCTCTCCCTCTCCAACCCCAAAGACAAGCTCTGCTCAGGTCCCTGGTCCTCAAACCTAAACAGTTGCTCCCATCTGCCCACTACTCGCAACCCAAGAGCCATTTCCTCTGCAATCCCGAGTCTGATCCCTCTTCCTCCACACTCCTCAGACCTTGCTCTTCATTCTCTCCATTCAGCACCCTACCGTGACCATGCTCCCACAGGCTCCCCGGACTCACCCAGACCACCCCTCCTAGGAGAACCCCCAGCAGCCTGAATCCAGGCATTTGGGACTGAAAGAAACTCCAGCTACTTTCTCATCCCTTCCCATGGAAGAAACTAGGAGCTCAGATGCCCCTGGGGTGGGGGCTGTTTGCAATTTCTGCCCTCATTTCTCTGCTGCCCCTCATCTTTTGGATTGGATTCTGACTCACTTCTGTCCCACCCACCCAATGACTCAGCCTTCTATTCTCTTCCCTGGGGTAGGGTGGGGTGGGTGGAGGGTGGAGGGGGAGCGGCTTTAAATCATAACCCTGATTTGGCAGATTCCTTCTTTTCCCACCTCTATCGCCCCTCCCCTGGGGCCCCCAGCGCCTGCCATCTGATCCCAGTCTAGTCTGAAACAACTCTGGGGTTGGGGCGTCTTCTGTTCCGGACCCTATGTTCAGGTGCTTTGGACACCCTGATATTAAGAGGAGAGGAGGAGACATTTCTCAATGTGTGCAGGATTTGGAGATCTGCGGTTCCCTTCCCTCTTTCTCCAAGTGGAAGCTGGGAATAGCATCTGGGTCCTTTCTCCAGCTTGGGGGTCTAGGGCTGAAGGAGCTGGGCCGCTGCGGCGTATGGCATGGCCCTAAACCCCTCCATCGCCCCCCTCCCCTCAAGGGAAAATGAGGAGGCAAAAAAGGTTGAGAGCTCAGACATCTCCAGGCTTCATCCCCAGGGCCCCTAGCCACACCCCGCCTTCTAGCTGCTCCCCGTACTTGCCCCTTCACCCCTCAAATGTGCCCCCCAGGGTTGGAGAGGAGGAAGCGTCAATGGCAGGACCCAGAGGCTTGCACCCTGCCTGCAGAGCTGCGGGTCCCACGAGGGCGAGGCGGGGGCGGGGCGCGGACTCACCCGAGGGCGCGCGCGCCCGGCGGCAGCGGCCCCGGCCCAGCAGCAGCGCCCGCAAAGGCGCCTCGTCGTCCTCGGGCGGCTGGCACTGCAGTCCCGGGGCGCAGTTAGGAGTGTAGACCCCGCACTGCTGCCCCTCCTTCCTGAAACAGCCCCCAGCTTCCGCACAGCCCTCCGCCGGCGGCCCCCCGTCCTCCTCCTCCACGCAGCCTCCTGAACAACCCGCCTGCACCCCCTGCCCGCAGCCTGGGCAGCGGGCCAAGGCGCCTCCCGTGCGGGCAGCGAGCAGCAGAGTTAGCAGCAGCAGTGGCGGCAGCAGCCTGTGGGGGCTCATGGTCAGGATTTTTGCCCCGTCCACTCCTAGAGCAGTCGTAGCGCAGCTGCCGCCCGCCGCCGCCCCTCTGCCTTAAGTAGCCGCCGGTCAGGGGCCGGGCCCTTTAAGAGCCAGGTGAAGGGGGAGGGGGGTGAAGGCAGGGGCATTCCCTAAACTGGGTGGGACTGGAGAGGCCCCCCCCCAACCTGGGTCCTCCCCACTCTTCTCTCCCTCCTCCCGTCTCAGTTTCTGTTTACTTCCCAAATTACTCTGATTTTTCTTGCTCTGTTCCCGGGAATCTCG